GAGAGTAAAAAGAAAGTAAAATGATGCATGGGAGGTGGGAGAGTTAAAAGAAAATAGAGGGAGATAGCAGAGAGTGAAAAGAACGTAAAATGATAGCGGGAAGAGAGACAAGAGTTACAAGAAAGAAAAATAATAGAGAGAAGAGAGTAAAAGGAAAGCGAAATAAAAGAGGGAAAAGGAAAGAGAGTAAAAAGAAAGGAAAAGAGAGGAAACGGAGAAGAGAGACGAATGTAAAAAGATTCATGGAAAAATGTAGAAAGGAAAATAAACAGATAGAGGGAAGCGGGAAAAAATAAAAATGATAGAGGGAAGAGAGAAGAGAATAAGAATAAAATATATAGTTAAGAGAGTAAGTAGAAACATAGAGAGAAAAGAGTAAAAAGAAAAGAAAATGAGAGAGGGAAAAGGGAAGAAAGTAAAACAAAAGTAAAAAGAGAGGTGACAGAGCGAAGGTAAGAGAGTAACACGAAAGAAAATTAAAAGAGAGGAGAGAGTAAACAAAGGAAAATGATAGGAGGAGGAAGAGTGTAAAAAAGAAAGACAGACTATAAACGGAAGCGAGTAAAATGAAAGTAAAAAGAGAGAAGGAAGTCTTATTATAAGAAGAAGACGCTAATGACCTAGATGATCAAGCGTACCAAATGATGGCAGTCCTGAATTGTCCTGCCCTTCATAGCATAAGTCTGTTCGATGCCACTCATACTAATGACCGCAAAAAGCTAACTATGATCTTGACTAAAATAATCACTGATGAAGCAATTGAGAGAATATTGTTTTATGCCGTTACGAGACATTTTTTTTTTTTTTTTTTTTTTTACTAATGATCAATTATTATAAGGGCCAAAAGTCACTCAATTTAGAGTGTTACTTAAAGAAATGTGTGGTATGGACATAAGACGAGAAATTAGGAAGTGAAAATTATGAGGATAAGAAGGATAGATAACGATTGGCACTGGACTTGAAAACGTTAAGATTGCAGTATTTGGGGAAATATTGTTGCAGGAATTTGGTCCACAACGTAGTGGTTTTAGAAAAGATTCTGTGTGAGTGGATCTTCCTTCTTAAATATTGAATACGAAGAGGGTGATTCATTCTGTGGACTCTTAGCTGTATAGATATAAACCTGAGAATTGAAAAGAACATTTAGCGTGTTAATTAGGAATAAAGTGTTGCTGCCGACACTTGAGTTTGAACATACATAGCCAGTGAACAAACACAGGCGATCCCATTATAGAATTAAGTAGACCACTTTACCATAGAGGAAATAATTATATGTAGGGAGTAGCTAACGACTAAAGATCGCTATTTCTAGTCTATCCTCTAATACTATCCTGATCGCTATTTCTAGTCTATCCTCTATTATTATACGGATCGCCATTTCTACTCTCTCCTCTATTACTATACGGACCGCTATTCTCTTCTCTATTCACTATACTATTTCTCTATTCAGATCGCTATACGGTGATTACTATTCGAGAGAGTATTATCGAGCAAGTACTGTTAGTGCGAGTGTTATTCGAAGGTACCTGACACCAGTATTGTTCAACGGCGTATTATAGTTGTATCTGCGATTACAAAGTCTCTACTACAACCGCCATTGCGTTGACATTATATAACTGTCAAACGAGTGTTCGTTGACATCACAAAAGCGTGGACATAGCAATAGATTAACGAGTTTTGTGACATTGCATCCGTGTGGAAATGGCATGGAAAATTATTTATCCCTCAAAAGGCCTCGTAAACGATTTTGAGCTCTGTCTGGACTGGAAAGTGAGGATTGTCTAGCTCCAGCGCATATGTACCAAATGATAAAGGAGAATGATAATAATGCATAGCAGAAAAGTTAAGGGGTGGACGTGTTTATGGTGTTGAAGTAAAATATAGTATTTGGTTCACAGTTTCTTACTAGACAATCTTTATCACCAGAATCTATCTTTTATTCGTCCATATTGCTGTAAAATCTGGTCCGGTGCTTCTGCTATATGTTTAGTGATTCTTGATAAAATCCAAAGAAGAATTTGCAATGTTATTTCACTTGACCTGGCATCTCGGGTTCAGTCACTATCGAACCGTCACAATGTAGCTTCACTGTGCCTTTTCTATAGATATTTTCATGGCGATTCTTCTGATAAATTTTCTTCTTTGGTACCTCAATTTTACGAATTTAAGCGCAGTACTAGATTAGAAGCTAGGTCTCATCATTTTTCAGTTGAAATGGTTAGCTGTAACCGTAAGTTCTATGCTAACAGTTTCTTCTCTTGCATTTCTCGCTTGTGGAATTCTCTTGATTTCCAGTCAACTTTGACCTTCAAAAATTGAAATTCAGTGTCAGTCGTTATCTTTTGTCTTCTTAATTCCTGATCATTTAACGTTTTTTCTCCTTAATAGAGAAAGCGAAATGTGGTGTCATGGATAACGGCTCGGAATGAGAAATCGGAGAACCGAGTTCGAAATCCAGTCGGGTTCATTACGATCACTTAGGCGCTAACAGACTTGGGAGAATTATGAATCCATCTCTACTACTCCAGCTATAGATTGAATAGCAAGAGAGATTGGGGCCTTATAGCCTTGGTTGACAACCAGTCTATCACAGAAAGAAACTTACTGCGAGTAAATCTTCTGCCTAGTCAGTCATGAGTCGATCGAGACATGATCATCAAAGAGTGCATCGCTTATAGCACTTAAATGACTTCTTTTTTTTTACTTTTTTCTCATATTTGTTCCCACTCAGTAATTCCTTTCGCCTATGAAGCTTTATTGCCTTGCTTTGGGTGAAATGGTTAAAAAAAATAACCAGTGGCATGTTTATTTGGTATGATTAGTTAAGTAACTTTCGGAATATCTCAGATAACTATAAAGAGTTTCTCGTTTTAGCCATAATATTTGGGTAAATTACAAGCAGTTTCATTTGTTTACTGAAAATAAAAGGAAATCTATTTCTGCATATTTTTTTTTTTAAATTACAAATTATTTTTTAATATGGGCATTTTAAGTTGATAAATAAAAACATTTTGATTTTCATGTTTTATTTATCCTATAAAAACCAGGAAGGACGCTCAAAACATATAACAAGAAAATTTAGAGTTAAATGAAATATCTATGATATTTTAATGGTAATATTAGCTGTTTCCTTATAAGGAAACATTCATTGACGAGGCAGCCAGTGCTACTTTCGGTTAATACAATTTTTCATGAAAATAGCATTCTTAAGTTCAGTAATTATTAATCATCTTTCTACTATTGATGGGGGAAGGGCTTATTCCTAATTATTATTATTATCATTATTATTATTATTATTATTATTATTATTATTATTATTATTCTGTAGCGTCACATCACGAGGTCTCATTTTTAACTCATTTTAACTCATTGCTCTAAGAAAGGTGTTGTAGATATTGTAGTTTAGATATTTCTGAATGTGTTTAGTTTTGGATGCACGATATATATATATATATATATATATATATATATATATATATATATATATATATATATATACAGTCTCAATCTAACGAGACTATTTAAGACATGAATCGAAATTTTATATTAATGTTTTGGTTTTGTAGCAACTTGTGGTGTTGGGCGAAACTATCTCTCGCGCAGCCGATTCTATGTTCAATTCTTTGCGACGTTTACTGATTCTGCAACAAAACTCTACTGTACTAACAAAAGATTAATAGTTAGGTTTTTCCTACACTATGATAAGCTTCAGGTTCATCAGAAACAGATTGAAGATTATGGTATCGGTTCAATAGATGAGGATCGAATTCGTTAGGGAGAGTTTGCTAAATCTGTGGTCTATGGTAAACGACATGCATAAATAAAAAAGAGCGTATAAGAAAGTAATATTGAAATAATAAAAATAACGAAGAAAAATGCTAAAAAAAAAGCAAGAAAAAAAGCAAAGCAAGCAAGAAATAACGAACTTTAACAAAAAAGAAGAAAATAGAGAAGAGGAAATTTTTATATGCAAAAGAAAGATTAGCTAAGAAAAAAAACAAACAAGGTTTATGGGTAAAAGAGAGAGAGAAGGAAAACAGAAAAGAAAAAATATATAAAACGGAAAGAAAAAGATTTGGCAGATTTAGAAGAAGAAAGAAAGAAAGAAAGAAAGAAAGAAAGAAAAAAGAAAGAAAGAAAGAAAGACGGACAGATTTAGGATACAATAGATAGATAGATAGATAGATAGATAGATAGATAGATTTAGGTTAAGAAAGAAAGAAAGAAAGAAAGAAAGAAAGAAAGAAAGAAAGACGGACAGATTTAGGGTACAATAGATAGATAGATAAATAGATAGATAGATAGATAGATAGATAGATTTAGGTTAAAAAAGAAAGAAAGAAAGAAAGAAAGAAAGAAAGAAAGAAAGAAAGAAAGAAAAAGAAAAGATTAGGATAAGAAAGAAAGAAAGAAAGAAAGAAAGAAAGAAAGAAAGAAAGAAAGACGGACAGATTTAGGGTACAATAGATAGATAGATAGATAGATAGATAGATAGATTTAGGTTAAGAAAGAAAGAAAGAAAGAAAGAAAGAAAGAAAGAAAGACGGACAGATTTAGGGTACAATAGATAGATAGATAGATAGATAGATAGATAGATAGATAGATAGATTTAGGTTAAGAAAGAAAGAAAGAAAGAAAGAAAGACGGACAGATTTAGGGTACAATAGATAGATAGATAGATAGATAGATAGATAGATAGATAGATAGATAGATTTAGGTTAAGAAAGAAAGAAAGAAAGAAAGAAAGACGGACAGATTTAGGGTACAATAGATAGATAGATAGATAGATAGATAGATAGATAGATAGATAGATAGATAGATTTAGGTTAAAAAAGAAAGAAAGAAAGAAAGAAAGAAAGAAAAAGAAAAGATTAGGATAAGAAAGAAAGAAAGAAAGAAAGAAAGAAAGAAAGAAAGAAAGAAAGAAAGAAAGAAAGACGGACAGATTTAGGGTACAATAGATAGATAGATAGATAGATAGATAGATAGATAGATTTAGGTTAAAAAAGAAAGAAAGAAAGAAAGAAAGAAAAAAAAGAAAGAAAGAAAGAAAGAAAGAAAGAAAAAATTAGGATGAGAAAGAAAGAAAGAAAGAAAGAAAAAGAAAAGATTAGGATAAGAAAGAAAGAAAGAAAGAAAGAAAGAAAGAAAGAAAGAAAGAAAGAAAAGATTAGGATGAGAAAGAAAGAAAAAAAGAAATTAAGAAAAGTTAAAAAAGATGTAAAGCTGTGATAAGAGAAAATACGTAAAGAAAGATGTTTTATTGTGGTAATAAAACAAATGAAATATTGTGGTAATAAAGCAAGATATGCGAATGAAAATAGAATGATACAATAAATAAAAAAAAGAAAGAATGGAATAATTTGTCTATTATGGTTTATTAACCCTTAGTGGTTTAGTCGAAATATATTTCGAATTATAGAATGTTACTGACAGTACCCGTTGTTCCGAAGATTTCCCACATCTAATTAGTGACCGGGTTCGCCGCTGCTTAACTTCGGTGGTCGTGCAAAAACCGGTGTTTTCTGCGAAGAAAAAAAAAAGTTCACAAAGCAAAAGCGAAATCCTTGCTAGAGGTCAGAATTCGAGTCCAGTGTCAATCCATGATTTCGGAGGTTGACTTTGAAAATAAGTAGGCCCTCATCACTTAGAAGTCTGGCGTAATATAATCTTCCTTCTCATAATTTAACTTTTAGAAATAAGCTCAGTAAATATGAAAATTGCTTAATATAAATCTAGTGGGCAATTTCTTACATAAAGCTAAACTCCATTGATTATAGTCTTCGCATTACCTTTGCGGTGGAGTAATGGATAGCGGCTTTCATTGAGGACATCGGAGAGCCGAGTTCGAATTCCAGTCAAATTCATTACATTCACTTACGTACTTATACCCTTGGGAAAGGTATGAATCCTTTTCTTCTAACTCCAGCTATGGGTAAATATAGCATTAGCCTTGGATGGCAACTGGTCTACCGCAGAAAGAAATGACAACCTACTGCGGGAAATATCTGCATCGTCAGTCACGTATGGAAAGGTACATGATCATCTAAGCGTGCATCAGTACATACCTGAACTGGTTCACTTCTCCTCTCTTTCTGTCAACATCATAATTCTGCACTCCCAGAACTTTCTATCGTTCTCAATAGACAACTGCACTACGTGACATTTATAGGCTTCCATACAATTTAACTTTCCACCCCAAACCTAAATTGAATACTGTAAAAAGCGAGGATGTTATGTCAAGTGAATCCGGCTGAAATTTTACCAACCAATATGTAACAATAGACACGCAATCTGTCTTGATGTAGAATTAAACTTTTCTTCTTGCATAATACGCAGACTCCTCTGCTTTGGACGAAGAACACGTTTTGGCGCGGCCAATTGGAACATTTCCTTTACCATACACACTTTTTCATCACCTGTCACAACTGGTCTTAAAAAAGAAACCCTTAAATACAATGGTGCTGATCATTTTCTTTTGAAGCAACACACATGACAAAAGTTGCACAGATGATTCTCAATGTTCGGTTCGTATATTTTCAACACGTTTGTTACTCGTTGCGTCGACACATGTTGTTTATTACCAAGTAATTTCTTGTTTTGCTCGCTATCAATTTCATCTGGTCTAGTTGACGATGGAACATTGTTGTGGGAAGAATCTCCAGCGCTAAACTTTTCAAATCACTTTTGACACATTAAGTTTTTTGTTTTTTTGTTTTTTGTTTTTTGGGGGGTAGGGGTTTGCAGTACCTTCTTCATAAAGAGAACAAATTTAGCAGTTCTGTTATGTTTGCACCTGTGTTGAATAGTTTGCTTTTTTTTCTTC